AAGAGTGGGATGGGGCAGTGGACCGGAGCCCCTCACCTCAGGAGGCCTCCATTCCAGTGGAGCTGAGAAACTGAGAAGAGACATCCTCCCCCTACCTTCTCCACCTCCCATCCAGAAACAGCAATAGAGCCGGTGGGGAAGATGCAGCCTCTCTCCCTGATGATCCAACAGCCAACATCTGTCGGATTGGGAGGATCAGTCTAAGCCATGGTGATTTCTATGAAATACTATGAGTTAGACCCAGGAGCTGCACTTCTGTCTGTACCTAAATATAAGACAGGGGTGCTTAATCTGTGGCACGTGTGCCACAAGTGTCATCTGTAGCCTCTGTGTGGGGCAAGCAGCAGATCGGGGAGGGGACAGAGCATAGTTGCATATTGGGCAGGAAGCAGAACGCAGAGCAGAAGATCAGGCAGCCAAAGGGGACTGGTATTGCTCTCTGGGAGGGTGGAAGCTAGTCTGGGGCGCACCTGCCAAAAAGTTCGACTTCCACTGATGTAAGGCATTAAACATCCATGAATCACGCTAGTGTGAAACTATGTTGGTGGCTGATTTAACCAGACAGTTTCAGTGATACAAGTTCCCATAGTAATCCCATCAGGTACCATGGTAATTTTATATAAAACTTGAGTGTCTGCTATTCACCTCCTACTACTCAGCCTTCTTGCTTCCTACCTTTAATCATGCTTCTATGCAAGGACTGATGCAAGCAAGCATCAGGACTGAATTACAAGAGCACAGAAGACAGTGCAAAAATACACAAGGTTGATAGGATGCCCTCAAAGACCCCATCCCTGCTTTAGGCAATCTGTTTATGAACATATATTTAATCCTTTTGAATTGACTGAAGACATCATGTAGGAGGTGGAAGCTGCCAGAAAATTGTACAGAGCAAGCTGATATCTGTCAAGATAATGTCATTTATATGCACAAAGCTGTCTTGAAGAATACCTTGGTCTTAGCACTCTACTAGGAGTGTGGGAGGAATATATTAATGTGGGAGGGATATGCACATTCGTAGCAGAAGTTTTGAATTAAGTCTTATTATTAACTAGTCTGCAAAGTTACGTGCCTCCATTAGACTTGTGAATTTTAGAAATTTGAAACAAATTACTTACTATCACAGGCCGTAGCATCGAGACGAAAGTACAGAATCGGCCACGCTCTTCAATGAGGGCCTTCCTAACAGCCTGTTTCTCTGTTTCTTCCAGAAGTAGGTACTTATCATTGACATCTTGTAATGCACTGTCCAACTGGGGCTGGATGTCTCCTCTTCCTGTACATAGAAAAGAATTGCAAGTAGGTTTTGTCTGAACTACTGACTTACAAAGGAGGAGTTCCTTGTCATCAGTCAGTATCCTTGCTGGATTGGGTTTGTCATACTTAGAATCTAATCCAAAATATTCCCTAAATTAAAAACTGTTTTCTTAATCAAGTGTTTTCCCATACTTATTTTCTCATTTAATAGGATAAATCCAGGTAAATTCACAAGTTGTTTCCATCCAGTTAGAAAAGCAGGCCCCAATTTGCATTTCAGATAGGAAGCATAAGACTGTGGCCGAAAACCCTCACAGCGTCCTTAATAGACACAGAAGCCTGCATACTAACCACAGACAAGCGTCTCTCTCCCTTGCCATTCCTGCATTTAGCAGGCTCCCAGTTATGACCTACAGAACCGTGTAGACCCGTAAATGATTGCTAGTGATTTTTCCTGGCATTAAATTAATTAGGTAAATGGAAATGGCAGTTGGACCACTGAACTGGATTTTATTAGTACAAATACATGATGAGACTAAAGCAAAACATTCATCTTTCTCAGGTCAAAAACTTGAACAACTGAACATATCAGTTCAGTATTTTTTCCATTATTCTGCCTAGAAAACAAATTTTAAGAAGAAGAAAAACAAAAAGCATTCATTATTAAAAAGAGATCTGGCTAGTTGCAACCAAACTCAGCCTGCTGCTGCAATGTAGGTAGATACTCACAGCTCGGCCTCCAACAAAGCAATGCCCCTGCTCACTCCCTACCATTCATGCCTAGTAACGAAAAGCAGGTTGGGTACAGCACTGCTGTAACAGGAGAACTTACTGAATGTGAATCTTGTTAACAAAGCAATATTGAGAGACTGTTGCAAAAATCATACTTTAATTCTTAAATGTGATGTTATTTCTAGAATGGAGTATATCTTATATATTTCCATTCCCATCACAACTGAATCCCAGTGCATGGTTTTAATGTTTATGCTTACTTATACTGAAGCTCCTTCTGGTAGTTTTAACTGAGTGATGCTGCCATCACTACTTTCCATGTTTTTCTAAACCAGCTGGGACTAATTACAAGACAAGGTAAGTGGCATTTTGGTATGGAAGTTAATATGCTTCATAGTGGATTGCATGAGTGTATAGTAGAACAATGCTAACTGAATCTGGTATTAAGTACAGGTGAGATGTCCTTCAAAAGCACATATGTAAAATCAATAAGTGACAGTAAATGTGATGCTGAAACAGTTTGTGATCATTAGGAGTTGTTTGAAAAGTATGTATACTTCTTAAAATGGAAAAAAACAACCCTCTATTTGTTTTTAGCTCTAGTGCTTAAAGTATCTTACATCTAATACCTAGACAATCCTGCACTTCTATTTTAGGTTTTATTATTGTGTAATTTATCCATGTCCTATTTGGCTTACATGCAGGAAAGGTGAAACCTGGTCAAATTTATTTTTCAGTAACCGTTTGTCAGCCCAAGCTCTGCTGTCATCATCTCTAAAACCGCAGTGTTTACATTTTATTCTCTTTAGCCAACTCTCGAGTCCCATCTCAACAAACGTTGTTGTGTGACATTTTTAATACTTGGTTCAAGGATGAGTTTTATAAAGTGGGAGCATTTGGAGAAACTCTAGCTTGCCTTTTGTGATATAGATCGGCTCCCGTGATACCAAACTTGGCAGGATCTGAATCTTATTTGCAAATGGAAGTTAAAGAATAAAGAATACTGCTTTCCTGTTTTCCAGACCAATTGCCGAATCGTGCCTACATCCATTATTCCAATCCTCTTTAAACAAGGGCTATTCAGTGCACTGAAATGCAAATTTACAGCACAGTACATAGAAAAGTTTAAGGTGAAATTTGTTTATGTGGATAAAGATAGTTACTGGCAAAACTTGATCAGAGCAGAATTTGATGCATCCTTGTGCACAGTAATTTTGAGAGACACAACAAATGATTAAGTAAGATTGGGTAAGCTCAATGGTACATTATCTAGCACAGGATGAAAGTACGGTGTCAAAGGTGCAGGGTTTCCCACGAAGATAGGACATTCCCTCCTTGGACAGGCCTTTATGAGCATTTTGCATCATTGTAGTATCCCCTTTGGCCATTTTGGAAGTGCAGATAACTGTACTCCCTTGAGAGCCAAGAGCAGCTTAACAGAACCATTCACACAACCCCATGGGCTTTGAGTGAAGAAGGTCAGTAAAGGAAATTCAGATGAATGCCTTTGCCTAAGAAGTATGTCACCCTTTTGTGTGGAGTAGTGTACCCCTGTCAGCCAAAAAGGCACAGCCAGCATGGGCAGGTACAAAGATCTGAGTTTTTCAGGAAAGGTGGAAAGGTGCGAGTATTTTTATTTTTATATTTGGTCCCGATACTCCTGTGCCAAAGGTAGCAGCAGGGTCCCAGCTGGGCTCTGACCGCTCGTTGAAGCTGGAAAAGGAGGAGAGGGAAAGAAGAGGATGGGATGTTGGGGGTCCAAAGAGATGTCCCCCGTAGCGGTATGTGTAATAGAACCCATAATGTGGCACTACAAAATAAAGCACTACAGCAAAGCTCCCACTTGAGAAACCCAATCCATGCGACAAAGCTGTTTTATAGTCAGATATATCAATTAAAAAAAAATAAAATAAAAATAGGACACACTGAGGTGGCAGAAGTATAAGCTTTTCCCCAAAATACATTTGAAGTTTGCCACAAATAACTTCTACACTGTCATTTCAAATAGTTTCTTAATGAACCAGCATCTTCTCAGACTATTGCCTATCTCTGGAGATAGTCAAGATGGTGTCTTCCTGTCCGTGTATTGTTCCAGGCCATTCTTATTCAAAAAGATTTGCTCATCTTTGTAATTAGCAGCATAATTAAAGCATTGTTTTACATCACACTAGAGCTCTGAATCATTTCTTCTATTAGATTGAGGATGTTGTTGTTAGGGATTATATTCTGCAAGCTTATCTTGCAAATGGCTGCTGGTGGAGTACCCTCAGGTACCTTACATCAGTGTAAGCATGCCAAATGCAACATATACTCATTAACTGAACTGCAAAAGTTAACACAGCTCAGCTTGGGGGAACAACTGAAACCCTGGCCCAGCCCAGTAAGTCTGGCTGAATTCATATATTAGGGCTGTCAAACAAAAATATTAATCATGATTAGTTGTGCAATTAAAAACATTAGTCGCAATTAATTGTGATTTTAATCACACAACTAAAAAGTCAAAGTTACGTGCAAGAAACCCTCAAAATTATGCAGGTACTTAGTATGGTTCAGGGGTGGGTTCGGGGCATGTGCAGGGAAGGAATTTGTGAAGGTGTGGGGGGCTGTGGGTGTGTGTGGGGTTTGGAAACTGGGGAAGGGGATGTCCCCTCACACCCTGGCAGGATGCAGGGTGCTGTGGGTCAGAAGAAAGAGTGGGGGGTGGGGGGAGGGGGCACAGATCAAAGGCCTCATGGTAAGGCAGAAAGTTGGGCAGGGGCAGGTCATTGGACAGAGCCATGGGAGGCTCGTCCAGGGGTTTCATAGATGTTAGGGTTGGGGCTGTGAGGGGCAGACAGGCATGCAGACACAGCACCCAGTAGGCAAGTCTGTGGAGGGGGAAGGGCAGGGGGAGAGAGAAAGAGTGGGGGGTGGGGGGGGGGGGCACAGATCAAGGGGCTCA